AGTTAAGGATTTATTTCCACCAAACCAGAGTTGGTGATTGTTGGAAACACTAACAGAGACGGTTCTGATGAGTTTTATTTAGTTTCCGACCAGTTTGAAGTGTTTTTTACGATTAACTGTGAAGTAAAATTACTGCTTTTTTCTATGGAGTCTGGTGCCCATTGTTTTGGTCTGAGATGTTGATGCTCTAGTGCGACATCTAGTGGCAACCAGTGAATTTCATACATATAACCTTCAACATTCGTTTAGAAGGGACTAATTTAAACAAACCCATAGCTTTTCCTAAGATTTTAATATTAAAGATTAACTTTTTTTTCCAAACGTATCCGGTGTTTTTAGAACAAACTTCCCTCTTTGGAACAGTTTTTGAATGCCGGCAGTAAACCTTTATATGACAGCCAGGACAAAGTGTTATTTTATTAATATAGACATAAAATCTGACCCCATCCTTTATTTACTTTAATATATCTGGGTGTGTACTGCCTGTTGCAAAACACTAAAAAAAAGGAACCGCTCTGATTTATGTCAATATTGGATTTTTTATTGATTCATAAATCAATGTTTAACAGTTTAGATTTATTTTTAAATGTCCCATTACATTCCTGTCTGGTTATATTATCCACAAATACTTTTTTATATATATATATTACCTGTATTGTGACAGAGGATTCACCCACACCTACAGTAAGTCTGCCATTTTATTTCATTATTTAACAAAAATCCATAATGTCTTCAATTTAAGAACAAATAATGTAAATACTGGAAGAAAAATACGAACTTTAGGAGGTTTTCTGCAACCTACAAAGGTTATTATGTGATAAAATGTTGTTTTTATTTACTGTCTTCAATATATAAGTCACTGATTTTAGTCTATTTTACATTAAAGTGTAAGAAGTTATGGTACAAAACACCAGTTGAGCAGTTTGTGCTGATTTCTAATAAAAAAGACTTGATGTACAACTCACATATTCAACTTGACCTTTATCTTTAGTTGCAGCCTTACTAGGAAGGATGTAATGATTGCAAAACGATCACTGATTAAATGTTCCTGTTGGTAATTACTATAACAGCTGCTCCGTCTAGAACACTGAGACCTATATTAAATTAAAGAAACCCTGACTATCATAACATCTTTATTGATCGTATTTTATAGCTGACTCTTATCTCTGGACGCACACTGAGTGCCAGGATGCCATCAGACGTCAACAATGTAAACTGCAGCGGCGACGGCAGAACAAATGTTAATAAAATGCCAAAAAACCTGGAGCCTGATAATGGTCAGCTGAGTGTGTGTTGCATAAAGCGCGGTTAACGCGTGGTCAATGTTCAGCAGCTAATAACAGGTCAACAGCCTCGGGAGGTCCTCAGCAGGACCACATCACCTGTGCGACTTCAACTTATCTAATCACAGCCTCATAAAACTGTGGAGGAACACAAGTTCAGACAACATGCACTGAAGACATGCAGGTATCTCTAATGTACACTAATCAGCCCGAGCACTACTGTACGGCGTTAAACAGGAGGACTTTATCTGTAGCCTTTAAAAGTTAAAAGCTGGCTTAATGCTGCTGTTGGAAGGACGCAGCACTCGACTGAAACTAATATTTGAAGTGGCTATATGTACGATTCTGGGGCATTTTATGTGTTATTTTATGTTATATTCTCTCTCTCCGCTTCCCTACAGTGTCAACGCTAGCTGGCGTTGGTTGCTTCGTGGTGTTGATGCTGATGGGCTGATTTGTAAATGGCGAGCTAGTTAGTAGCATGGAGATAACGGTCCAAATAAAATATAGGAACATAAACTGTTTCTTATTACTAGGATGTTGACAGAGGTGTGTAAACATGACAGTGGCATTGTGGGAACAGACTCACGCTCTACTCTCTTCTCCAACATGGCGAGACGGTTGGTGACCTCGGTCTTCAGCTCGTTGATCTTGAACGCCCTGCGGACAGGTGAGCGCAGGTGGGAGAGAGGTGAGTTAAGACAGTCGCTGTGTGTCTGTTACAAACAATAAACTTGTATATTTACTCTCTCCTGCCGCAGGAGGATATTTACAGCTGACAGTGGCATTTAAACATCTGATTTATTGGCAAAGTATGTGAACACAAACACGTAATCCTCACAGGAAGATAGAAACAGAAATATAGAGAGGTAACAACATATAATGTACGAACAAGTAGGTGAACATTTTGTGTTTTTAAAAACAACTCAAAACAATTAATAGATTATAAAATTTGGTTGGCGATTAATTTTATATTTGACAACTAATTGATTGACGTTTATGCTGTCTTCTCTCTCCGCTTCCCTAATATCAGCTAATTCATCCAGACTCAGTGTTGCTAACACAACTTTACTTACGTTATTACTAGCAAAATACTATCTGAGTGGATATTTGAGTTGAGTAGATTTGTTTGTTGGCTAATGTTGGTAGCAAAATACAAAATATGTTAGTTAGCTCACATTATTGCTGAGTGGATGCTGTAAAATCTAATAAAACTGCAGAAATTAACATATTAAATTTAGCAGGAAATCAACAACAATCCATTTTTCTTCATTTGTTCTCACAAAATGAGAAACTGGAATCACAGCTAATCAGCTGCTCAGTCAATAGTCATAATTATCGCAGCCCTGCAATCTCTGGTAGTTTATATAAGTGCTCCAACAGTGCCAACACCTCCGTTTATCAGATTATGTTATACAACTTTATATCTGCGTCTGTCAGTGGCTGCACTGACACACAATTAGCAACAGCACATTTATCTCCGGTCTAACGTCGTGCTGCATCGTTCCCCTTTGGACTGTCCTAAACACATCTGCAGAACCACAATTAGCAACCTGATTAATCAGGAGGTTAACGGTAATTAATACAGAAAAGAGAGAGACTCGTTAGGTTGAGCTCTTACCTTGAAAACTGCTCTGCTACTTGCGTCAGTACATTCTGAAAGAGTTCCTCTTTATCTGAGGAGAAAGCAAGAGAGTGGCGTTACATATATACACCACCCACCCACCCACACACATACATACACACATACATACATACATTACATACACATATTACATACATTACATACATTACATACAATAGCAGCTACAAGTGCATCAATTAGTCCTGATAAACACACTCACAGACATACGCAGAGGTTATGTAAGCCAATCAGAGAGCGTCAGATGGCCCGAAAGCAACAGATGGCGGAGGAAGAGAGGAGATAAATAAAACGTGCCCCTCTTTTCCCTCTGGATGGCGAGCAGTAGAGCGTCCGACACGAACACAGCTGACAGCTTGATGTGTTAACCACTTCTGATTCGACTTCCCACACACACTGGGAATGGGCTGGACTCACAAACAAAAGCCCTGCCACTGGCTCAACGCTCCACTGTTGTGGGCAAAGTTCACGACGCCACTGGCCAATAAACTAACAGCTACGAGAAATTGTAAAAAAAAAAAAAGAAGAAGAAGAAGAAGAAAGCTGTTGTAGTACATTGTGTCACTCACATTCCATGTTTTATGCAGGTCAGAGGTCAGCGCTACAAAAAAAAAATTCCTCTCTGTGATTAATTAAGCTGCTTTCAGCTGGAGGGAGAGAGAGGAAGTGGATTCAGGGCTGTAAGTAGTTTAGAGCTCAAAAGTATTAAAAGTACCAGAAATACAAAGTCCTCATTATGCAGAATGTAATTATATTATTGGATTATAATTATTGATCCTTTTAAAAGCTCCAGGGTTTAACATTGAGGAGGAAATGGAATTTAATATTTATAGTTTTCATTAGTGTTTATTCAGCTGAAAATAAGTTCGTTGTGTAAAATACAAAAATATGTTAGTTGGTTAATGACAATCTGTTCCCAAACCTCACTAACCTAACCTGGTTTATGTGCCGTCACAGAACCAAGAGTTACTTAACGTAACGTAAAAGTAGTGTAACGTAACGTAGAGTAACACAACGTAACCCAAAAGTAGAGTAACGCAAAGTAGAGTAACGTAACGTAGAGTCACGTAACTTCACGTAGAGTAATGTAACGTAGAGTAACGCAAAAGTATAGTAACATAACATAGAGTAAAGTAACGTAACGCAACGTAATGTAACGCAAAGTAGAGTACCGCAAAGTACAGTAACGTAAACGTAGAGTAACACAATGTAACATAAAGTAGAGTAACGCAAAAGTATAGTATAATAACGTAAAGAAGAGTAACGCAAAAGTATAGTATAATAACGTAAAAAAGAGTAACACAAAAGTATAGTATAATAACGTAAAGAAGAGTAACGTAAAGAAGAGTAACGTAACGTAGAGTAACGCAACAGAGCACAAAGTAACGCAACATAATGCAAAAGTAGAGTAACATAACAGCGTCCTACTTTGGTCACTGACGAAGCTGCTGTGTTGACAACAATCATACAACATGTGACTTGTGAAACACAAACACTGAGCTTCACATGTACCCCCTGAAAACCTCTCACGTTGAAGTATTTCTACACCAGTGAATGTGTTTTATGATCACAGCTCTTGTTGTTTACTCGTTGCGCTCTTTCCTTTAAACAATTGGAAACAGTCTCAGGGACTCGCTGACTTTAGACCTGATCTTTAGTTTGAGGAGGTCAGTGTCCGAGTTCAGCTCACTGATGTGATGTTAAGTCTCCATAAAACCAGTTATATGGCTTTGAACTACTGAAGTTCAAAGCTTTGAACTTTTTATAGCTTTTTATAGATGTTTACCATAGTGTGTGTGTGTGTAGACCATAAAAAACAAGGTGTTTAATGTGAGTTAAAATGGATATAATAATACTCTGCCCTGTTTTTACTATAATGTCTGTTAAAAGCTGCAGGTGTGAGACCACATCCTGCGTCCGTTTGGGTCGTTGTTTCTGAACATCCTCACCTCCACGCTGTCTATCTTTAAGGAGGTACTTCACCCTAAAATGTGTTTAAAATGTGTTTTTTGAGCTGTAAACTAAATTATGTGACAGTACGGTGATAAAACACATCAATGCTGGTCTCAATCTGCATTTTGTGGGTTAAAAATAGCTTCAATGTGTGTCTTCTCTAATGTTTCTCCTCCACTGCTCCAGTGACTGGTTTGGTATTTATAGGTTATTTTAATGTGTTACATGCTACTCGAGATATACAGGACTTCCCATAATAGAACATCTGCTTAAACCTGCTTTAATTGATTCACTTGTTTTCAGCAGGAACACATTTAAGTTGATATAGCACATTAGCACATTTCCACATCCAGCAGTTATGGAGCAACACGATTATTCATTAAGAGTCGTATAAAGTCCAGTATTTACTCTCTTTTAGCTCTGGTTTGGTCTCCACCACCTCCACGATGCTCCGTTCGTGACGTTGTCACAGAAATTAAAGAATCAGAAGTTTGTTGCCACACGGACCTTTTCCCTTGTAACACAGCAAGTCAGCTTCTTGTCTTCTTTTTTGTTTTTCTGCAACTATTTGACTAACGATGACATTTACTTGTGTATTTTGTCCTTAAAAAGGAAACCAAACAGGTAGTTTCCCTGCCTCAAATCTCCTCTGACTTCTGGTGCCACAACGTTGATCTAGCACACTGTATTTTATTTTGAAAATTGACCGGATTCTCTATGCTGTTTCTCTGTCTGACTTCCTGCCAGAGCTGGTTGACACGAGTGGGTTGCGACTTCCGTCAAAAATAGCAGAGAGACGCTTCTGGTGTAATTTCAAGCGTTGTGTAGAAGGAGAATAATAATTTCTGCTTTTCCTGTCAGCATCTAACCGACGGCTGTTCAAAAACGTAAATAATTAAATTAATATCCTTTGACAACACTCATATTTGATGTGATTTAATGGCTCTATGTGTGAGTGTGTTCAGTCCCGGGAACTCACCGGCGAGCTGTCCTCCAGTCATTGGCACCACTCGGTACGGTGACCTTTAACACAACAGGAAACACACACACAGGTTAGTTCTGAGAGGAGGTTCGACGCTGAAATAAATCCTCCGAGCCGACACGCTGTACTTTTCCTCCCACTAACACACAGACGTCCTGTTTACAAGGAAAATTCCCAACACTCAGATGATGTTTGTCAAATAGAAGGTTTCAGATTTTACCCTGAGATAAGATGGCAAACACACACACACACACACACACACACACACACACACACACACACCTATTGAAGTGTCTTCTCTAATCAGTGTGTGTGACTGCAGGTGAAACAACCTTGAGACTGGAGTGCTTTGTCTAACGAGAGAAGGGCAGTTATCATCATTTACGTTCCTCCAGCTTTAGTGAAGTGAGTCTGACGCCTTTGGGAAAATTCCACAAATCAAACTGGACGCATCGTCTTCATCACTGCCTTGAAGCTGCTGCAGCAGAGAAGAGCTTAAATATGGCCGACGCAGCTCTTATCTAAACGTCAATATAAATAAATTGTTGTTTCCTGAATGTAGGCCCTCGTTCACAAGCTCTCTTTTATGACAGTTGTAGTTTCGTCATGTGTTGTTTATTGCTGCTACAGACGATCCATGATCTCTGGGGGCTAAATATAGATTTATTTTAAATATAGCCCTCACTGTCAACGCTTTAAGATTAAAAATGAACAATAAGTATGTTAGAGTTTGTCAGTATAGCATTATATATCACACAAAGTGTACCAGATTAACTGAGCAGCGGTAGCTTTTAGATAAAGTGAAAGTGAAACTGAGGACGTGTTTACTAAATGTTTGCAGTGGTAATCGTGTGTGTAAATAAAAACAACAGGTGATGATTCATCAGCCTTTCTCCTCAGTGTGGATTCATCCTGAGAGACAGAGCTGACACTTACTGATACAGATCTGAAGGAAGCTGCAGTATTTTATAAATACAATACAATGTCAATACAAAGACATCAGAAATGTTCTTTTACAGACGGCATTGTGCTGTGATTAAATGATAAATTCATAACATGTTGTTGTTAGTAAATTAATTTACAAATTAAACCCCAGACAAGAACAAGTTATATTACTTTATGTTATATTACTATATGTTATGTTATGTTACTATATTTTATGTTGTTACTATATATATCTTATGTTACTATATATTATTTTATGTTATGTTGTTACTATATGTTATGTTACTATGTTATGTTACTATATGTTATGTTATGTTACTACATTTTATGTTACTATGTTATGTTATGTTATGTTTCTATATTTTATGTTACTATATGTTTTGATATGGTACTACATTTTATGTTACTATATGTTATGTTATGTTACTATGTTATGTTACTATATGTTTTGATATGTTACTACATTTTATGTTACTATATGTT